CTGCGGGGGCCCCCCCCAGCAGCCCAGGGACACCTGGAGCAGCTTTTCTCGCCCCGGAGGACGCGGTGGTGGGACCACTGCGCGTCTGGGTGGTCCTGCCGCCCGCAAGTTCCAGGACAAGAAAAGCCCCGGTCGTAAGTGCGGATCCGACATAAGTCGGATCCGTGTAAGTCGGGGACTGCCTGTATATATAATTTTAGTAACTGGTGGGTGCCACAGTTGCACACATCCAAACAAGCACATTTGACATCAATATTGGTGCACAAGACACAACTCATTCTGCTCAGGGATGGAAAATCTTAGAGGTCCTGAATAAGGATGTTAATGCGGTTAATTCACTAGTCGACTACTCAGTGGAATTTCTGTCGACTAGTCGATAAGCACTTCCGCATTCCTCCTTTGAAATGTACAAGAGTCCCCAGCTGATCCCCCAGCAGGGACTCTTGTACATTTCAAAGGAGGAATGTGGAATCGTCTATTGACTAATCTTTAACATCCTTAGTCCTGAACCAGAGAATTTGCCGAACCATAGGAGGTCAGTATTGTCTAGCAGCATCACCAACATTTCTACTGCTTACTAGGCTCGATAATCCATTTTGTGGTAAATTAGACCTAAATAACATGACAAAACACTGAGAGCCAGTGTAAACAAACCTGTGGTTTGTGGTTGTAAACAAACGTTATAGGACCATGAGAAACTTGGGTGCACACAACCTGTAATACTTAAAATCAGCATTATATAATTGCAATCAGCTATAATATATTCTGCATAACTGTGCACAAAAACTGGTTCTACTAGTTAAACTACAGTAATTCCTCATTTAACACTATAGATATGTTTCAGAAAATGATTGTGTTAAGTGAAAACATGTTATGCAGGCTCAATTTTCCCATTGAAAATAATGGAAAAGGTGGGGGTTGCGTTTCAAGCCGTGGTGTCTGTTGGGACCAGGACATAAGGTTGGGGGAGAAAGGGGACTAGGTTACAGCAGGGAGGGGAGGTGTTTAGCTCTGGGGAAGGGAAGGGGAGAGGGATTGGGTTGGGAGTATGCCCCTCTGACAGGTCTGACAGGACCCCCACGCCGTCAGAACGGCGTGGTGAGCGGCGAACCCTCCGCTGTTTTGCTGAGAGGTGGGGGAAGCCCTGCGCAGCCGCTGGCAACGGGGTGGGTGGGGAAACCCAGCTGCCAGCCTGCAAACAGGGGCAGAGGAGAGGGGGCAAGGCATCTGGTGAGGGGGGAGTCAGCGGGGAACGGCACAGTGAGCGCTGAACCCTCTGCTGCTTTGCAGAGAGGTGCGGGAAGCCCCGCACAGCTGCCAGCAACGGGCTGGCTGGGGAAATCATGTTATTCCAGGGACGGATGTGTAATTCAAAAAATGTTCCCTTAGCACAATTTTTTTTATCATGAAAACATGTTAAGCGGGGCATGTGTTAAATGAGGAATTACTGTATTACTAGGGATGTGAAAGGATAACTGGGTAAGTGTTACCCTTTATTACCAGTTCTGCTTAACTGGTGAGGGCTGGAACAGCTCCCCACCCACCTTATCATGGGCAGGGGGTTGCTCAAGCTCTGCAGGGCCCACCTCAGGCTGTGGTCCTCTCCAACCTGGGGGGAGTGGGAGGCATTCTAGCCCGTGTGTGCTGATGCTTTCCCTCTCCTTAATAAACTGGTTAAAATTTTACTTCACATTTAACCAGTTAACCAATTACATGGGATTTTACATCCCTAATCCTGCTTTCACCCCAATATACATATTATATGAGTGATTTTTACACATTTTTAAGCAGAGTTTACCAACCTTTACAGAATTTTCAGGGGGTAGCTAGGTTAGTCTCTACAGGATAAACTTAAACAATAAATGGTCTAGTAGCACTTTATAGACTAACAAAACCTATTTTGTTAGTCTATAAAGTGCTACCAGGCCATTTGTTGTGTTTTAAGTTTAGTCAAACAATTCTGTAAAGGATAATCTACTACATATTTTAGAGAGTTTGTCTATTTGTTGAATTCCTGCTAAATGGTAAGAGCTAGGACCACCAAATTCAATATATAGCTTCCTCTTATAAGAGCTTGATTGTGCCAGGAAAGCGGGATGTGCTTGGAATGGGATTGCTTCTTATAAAACCAAATAGAGAAGAGACAGACTCCTCAAAGCAAATACAGTCCTCAAAATTGACTGAGTGAATGTTGAATGTTCAGGGTTCGACAAGTAATGCAATCTACTTGCCCGTAGCGAGTAGATTGCAACCCGGAAGAGCCGGGTTCGGGTGATCTGCGCATGCGCATGCGCAGAACGCCGGACAGCGCAGCTGGCGAGCCCTGTGAATGTTAAATAAGACTGAGCGAAGATGAGCCAGAAAAGTAGGATGACCCTGGAGTAGGATTGCTTCTTAATGAACCTTACAGAAAAGATTAAAAAATGGAGTAGTGATCTGATTTGGCACAGCTAAATCAGTGTTTAATGTTTGAAAACTAGAAGAAAATGTTGTTGGAAACCAAATTGACTATAGCCCTTTGCTTAAAAAAAAAAAAGTGAATAATATGTGGGAAAAAATATACTTGATTGAATTCCCATTTAAAAAAAATTAAAGTAATTAAGAGAAATTTTAACCATCCTTTAAGAAATCAAAAATAAAAATTAACTTAATAAAAATAAGTTTTTGAAAAATACAGTCATTTAAATAAAGCATGTACATTTTCATTTAGGGAGTTATGGACCTGAGCAATGCTGAGTAAATCTATTAGTATTTTATATATAAAATGTATAAACACAATTCAGGCACAATTTTTACCACTAAAAGAAAACAAATATTGTATAAACAACAAAAAAATTTATTGAACTCCTTATACACATTTCTTTTAATTTTTTTAAATTTAAGCATTAGAATCATTATTTAAAAAAACAAAGGAAAACTTGCTTTACATTGCTAAAATACATCAATTTGTCATAAATAGAAAGATTTAATGGTTTCCCACAAATTACTATAGTCTGGATTTTTTTTCCCCCCGCCCAATTTGTTCTACAACCAAGTACATTTTTCTGCTTTTATGGAAGCGAGTTCTGCAGAATCCCAGTTCCACTGCAGGGCTCTAGATTATACCTCTTTATACTGTCATAGTGCATATAGCACAGGCACAATTTTCTGTTTAAGCTTGTGTTGTCACAGTAAAGATAGTGAGGTCCTGCTTTTGTATGTTTTGAAATAAATAGCTTTAAGTGTGAAATTTCTTCAGAGAAAAAATCTGAAATTCTGGTAATTAAAGATATATCAGAGGCAGCAGTGCAGGGTGCCAGACAGAAACTGGTCTCTGATGGGGAGCCAGTTAAAAAACCAGCTCCCCTTGTGCTGTTGCCTTCTGCTGCTGCCGCTGATACAGAGGTGCAGCCCCTGTCAGGGGGTGGGTGGGGGATTTTTAGATCCCAGACCCTGTGTTGAGGGTGGGGTGGAGAAGGAAGACAGGTGTTTCTTAGATCCCAGACCCTGCATGAGCCAGAACTGAGCTGGGTTGCTTGTCCGCCCAGATGCTAATACGCTTTAAATTGAGAGCTGCAGCAGGGGTAGGTCCTGGAGTCATATCAAGCCAGGACCAAAGGCTGCTGACCAGCCTGCTAAAAACTTATTGGCAGTGGGGCAGGGAAAATGTGCATAGTCTAGCATCCCTAGAACATAGCAGCAGGCAGGCTGCTGCAGGGAGAGGGCTGGAGTCACTATTGTACTGTTTTGACATTCCTTAGCAGGGATTGCTCAGGGATACTGAGGAACTCCAAGAAGTGCAGATATTAGCCCTGCCTTTCTGAAACACTGCACTAGGGGATGCTTACCCAAGTTTCTTTGCTCTGTCTGTCGATAGGATGCTAGCAATGTGCAATGAAAAGTTAACAATGGGAGGCAGAAAAAACTGACTGGTTTTTACTTTGGTACCTTTTGCGTGTGAACAGTATTTTTGTCACCAAACCTTCCCAGTGTAGACATAGCTATATTAGAAACTGCTAGTCCCTGTTCCTGGTATGTATAAAGGTGAAAATAACTTCGTGAATGTGGATTTTATTGAATAGTGAGCTTTGGAGTAGTCCATATTTTGGACCTTAAAGTCATACAAAATATAACTGATTTCTTTTGCATGGATGGACACTGAGTTTTGGAATATTTGGTATTTACATAAAAAGGAATAAAATATCTAGTTACACATGAATATACTTTTTTTCTTTAAGGTGCGCATTGCAGCAAAGTTCATCATTCATGCTCCCCCTGGGGAATTTAACGAGGTGTTCAATGGTGAGTGTCTTTGTTTTCTCTTCTCTGGATCTATTAAATGCATTTCCGATATCTTGTGTATATATTTCATAACTTTAAAGAAGCTATTGAACATTAGGGCTGTCTAGACTGGCCAGCTTTTCCAGAAAATCAGCCGCTTTTCCAGAAAAACTTGCCATCTGTCTACACTGGCCACTTGAATTTCCGCAAAAGCACTGACTTCCTACTGTAAGAAATCAGTGCTTCTTGCAGAAATACTATTCTGCTTCCCTTCAGGCAAAAGTCCCTTTTGTGCTAAGTTTTTGTGCAAAAGGGCCAGTGTAGACAGCTCAGATTTGTTTTCCGCAAAAAAGCCCTGATAGTGAAAATGGGGATTGGGGTTTTTTTTGCGGAAAAGCACGTCTAGATTGGCACGGAGGCTTTTCCGCAAAAGCAATCTAGACACTCTGTTCCGAAAATGCTTTTAATGGAAAAGTTTTCCATTAAAAGCATTTCTGGAAAATCATGCCAATCTAGACGCAGCCTTACGAGTTCATTGTTTTGCTTTTTTGTCACCCTTCCTTGCAACTTCATGCTGTTTATCTCTAGTCACTACTTTTACTGAAGTGCTGTGAAATTATTTTATATAACTTGACTTGGTAAGTTTCAAACTAATCTTAAATTCCCAGATATTGTGGTGCCCTCTAACTGCAAAGGGGAAAACCTTTTTTTGTGTGTGTGGATGAGAACTTATTTTGTCACCATTGCCATTTGTGCAACACTGATCCTTGCTAATACTGTCTGATATGTTGAAAGAAAGGAGATTTGAGTTAATTGCTAATGCTTTGATATATAGCTCAATTACACTCCAGGTTTTTTTGACCTTGCTGAAAAATGCTTATTTAAAAAAAAAAAAAATTAGGGTGTGGTTGTTTGGAGGTGTGTGGGGAAGGGTTTAAGATCTTGTATTGTCTAACCAGTTAACCGATTAAGAGGGGCAAGTAGGGAGCCTGCAGCTGGGCTGGAGCACCCCCAGCCGGAGCAATCTCCTGCATGAGGCGGGCCCTGCAGGGCTGGAGCAATCCTTTGCCCAAGGCAGGCGGGTAGCTGCTCCAACCCCCACAAGTTAGCCCTGAGTGGGCAATAATTAAAACATTTCTGAAGTGGCCCTGGGCCACACGGGAAAGGGTAAGACCTTGAGTGGAAAGGGTGGGGCGGGGATACTTCTGGGTTCTCCACCCCCAGACCATGATTGGTCTGGGGGCAGGGGAGTGCATGAAGCCTCCCCCCAGCCCTGTCATGAGCGCCTAGAATTTCCAAGCACTGCATGTTCCTGGCAGGGTGGAGGAAACTTTGTGTGCTCCCTTCCCACCCCCAGGTTGTAATTGGACTGGGGGCGGGAGAGCGGCAGGGCTTCTGTGGGCTGGATCCACTCACTTGGCGGGCCGAATCTGGCCCTTTTGCCCACCCCGGGTTAGCATCACCTATTCAGGTGACGGGTTAACTAGTCACATCCCTACTAGAGAACCACTCCAATCATATTTCTGAGTCTAGTTACTGCACTGTGAAGTCAAGCTGATCAAATACGTGTTATGTGATATAGAGGTGTAGTTGACTAGTCGCTTCCCCGCCCTTGCTGCTTCTAGAAGCTGGTTTCCCCCAGCACCGTCTCCATGGGGAACAACAGAGACAGAGGCGCAACAGCGGAAACAGTGAGAGCTGGGACTGAGCTGTCTCACTCCGCGTTCAGTCCCAGATGCTACGCCTCTGCTTTTTAACTGTAGTAAGTACCACCAGAGGCACGGCGTCTGGGACTGGGTGGGAGCCAGGGCTCAGTTATCTGAGACCGCTGCAGCTCTGCTTTTTAAATGTAGTAAGAGCATTTAATATATAGTAAGAGCATTTAAAAAGCAGAGCTGCAGAGTACCTTATTATCAACTAATTGAGTAGTCAATGGAAATTCCATCGACTACTCGATTAGTTTCCTAACCGCTATTTAACATCCCTAATGTGAAAAGCTTGCTGTCTGTTGTTTTTCCCCTCATTTCCTTGAGGCAAATCTTGATTTGACACTTGATGTGAAAGTTATTTTATGGCTAATATAAATATTCTTCTAGCTTCTTGAAAATAGTGTTAAGACTTAAATATTTTCTTTCAGATGTTCGGTTGCTGCTTAATAACGATAATCTTCTCAGGGAAGGAGCAGCACAGTAAGTATCATGTACTACATTTAGCATTTAAAGACTTCCAAGTTTAACATTCTATTAAGGTTTTGTTATCAACAAGTCATTGAAATGATCTGACTTATTAATAGTGCACCTGTAATTTTAGCTATGCATTCATCAGACCTAAATAAGCTAGATAAAGTTAGCCTGAGTCAAGAGTTACATTAAAGAGGTCCAAGTAGAACTCAGGAATTACAGAAGAACTATAGATGACTGAGTGGTGCTCTGCAGTACTGAGTCATCCCTTTTGAATTTAGAAACCATGTTGGAGCAGTGTTCTAAAGAGCACAAAGCTCCCAGTTTTGTGTGTCTTGGATAAAGCACAAGCAGTCTTGTGTTCACAAATTCTAGGGCGCTTTTTTGCAGAGGTGTTACCCAAATAAACATACATAGGTTAAGTTACATCATGCCTATCTACATATATATCCCCTTCCAGTTTCAATTATAAATGTGTGTCAGTTTTCATAAACAGATGTAGTGGTTGGCAATGTTATCACTACAAAGTAAATTGTTAGGTAAATTTGAGCCTTTTTGGGGAGTCTGATTAAAGGGTCAGCATAAAGGGATCCCACAAAGACGGTGGAATGGGGCAAAAAAAATAAGTGGACCTTTACTTAATTTTTCTGTGCTGTGACCCACATCTAGTTAACTTATATTTATCTCCATAATTTGAAGTTGTTTACTCAAAAGGTTTCAGCTCTTGCACTCCAGTTAGACCTCTGTCTATAAAAATAACACTTTTCATTTATAGCTGTCAAAGCTCTTTAGAAAGATAAGTGTCCTATCCTTATTTTACAGATGGGGGAAACTGAGGTACATAGTAGCAAAGTGACATGTCCAAAGTCACCCAGCAGGGAAGTGGCTGGGTAGAATCCAGTTTTCCTGAGTCTCTGTGCTCCTTTTTTTTGACCACATCTCTAAACTGTTAGTTAATCATGTCTAGATTTCTGAATGGTTAATACCCACATCCTCTATGCTAAAAGCTTTCTGTTTGTCTAGCAATGCTATATAGTAAAAACGACTTCAAGATTCCACGTTCCTGGACAGATGTTTTTTCTCATTTGGAATAAATAGACTTCTAGGAGTCTGCACACACTTCTTTGTGTCAGTGTATATATTGTGGGCATTTCAGAGATTAAACTAAGACACTTTCTGTAAAATGTATTTACTGTGCTATGATCTAGACATTGACTGCAAAACAGGTGGCCTTGTAAACTTGTCACACCTTTCTATTAAAAGAGCTAAAAATATCTGTGTGAATATATTAAGTGGCTGTCTAGCTCAGCGCGGTAGTCTGGACGCTCCGCGGTCGACATCGTGCCTCCTGGAATGAGGTTTACCTGGGAGGTCGACAGATGCCTTTGATGTCAACCGTGGAGAGTCCAGACTACTGCGCTGAGCCAAAAGCTGATCGGCTCAGCGCAGCAGCCATTTAAATTTAAATGAAGCGGCGATTATTTAAATCGCCGCTGCATTTTCCCATGCGGGGTAGCCTAATCTACATGCCTCTGTCACCAGAGACATGTAGTTTAGATGTACCCTCATTGTCTAACTCTTTCTTTTGATATTTGTAAATAGTTAATTTTAATGCTTTTGTAATGGTTGGAGATTCTTTTTAACTGTTATGTAGAATCTGATGTGTATTTTTTCTTTTAGTGCATTTGCACAGTACAATCTGGATCAGTTTGCTCCTGTAAAAATCGAGGGTTATGATGAACAGGTATGGCTATTCACTCATAAAACTTTAGAGAAAAATTAAGGAGCATGCTATGATAGAACTTCCTGCCTTTATTTTCCTGCAAAAATATGTATTGGCAAGTATTCTAAGTTGTTAAACTGTTTATCATGTAAATCATGAAGAGCTACTATATAAGCTGTGTGGGCAGCATAAAGATACTTAAACAGGGACGGGGAATTTACAGCCTGTGGGTCAAATCCATCCTGTGGCTTGCATTGAATTGGCCCACGAGGCCTTCTCTCCTCGCAGTAGGACAAGCAAGCACTGGTGCTCCCCACTGCAGGAGAGTGGAGGAGAAACCTCACAGGCCTGATCCTGGCAAGCCACGGGCTATATTCAGCCTGAAGGGAAGAGGAAGGGGCTGTGCATGCTGCAGGGAAGTGCTCCTTGCAAACACTGCCTCCCATGCTCCTGTTGGCCAAATCAGGGAGCTGGGCCAGATAGGTGCCCCATCCCCTGTTCTCAGCTGCACTATCCTCTAGGGATAGCTGCACTATCCTGATAGAAGCAGCAAAGACGGGGGGAAAGGGAAAAGAGGGAGTACTTCAAAATGTCAGTGCCACGCGGAGCCCAGTAAGGGCTCTGTGGGGTGCTACCGCTTTGAAACGCTGTGGCAGTGTTTCAGAGGGGCAGTGCTGCACAGCTGACCCCGGGCTCAGTGTGGCGCTGCTGCTTTGAAATTCCACGATAGCATTTCAAAGGGGGCAATGCCACACAGAGGCTAGGGTCAACTGGGGTTGTCCCAGGCTGACGCTGGGCTCTGTGCAGCATTTCAAAGCGGCAGTGCTGCATGGAGCCCAGGGTCAACGGGGGACTTTTATACATTTCAAAGCTGGCTTGCTGCGTGCAGCCTGGGGCCAGCGGGAAGTCTTTTGTGCATTTCAAAGCCAAGCACCCTCATGGAGCCCAGAGTCAGTGGGACTTCTCACTGGCCCTGGGCTGCACGTGGAGTTCCGCATTCCTCCTTTGAAATGTACAAGAGGTATGCAGAGGTGCCTAATGACTAATCAAGTAGCTGATGGAAATTCGACTAGTAAATTAACTGCAATTTAACATCGTTAATATGAATTCTGCATTTGCTACAATGAAGGGTGAACAGATAAGAACTCAAGGTTTGCTTCTGCTTACTTTGTCATATTCATCCCTCCCTTCTGTGTATGAACTCAGTTAACATAAGTTTTAAAGAATAAGATTTAGATAAGCCTGGCTTTGGTATGGTTTAGTCTTTCTCTTTTATATTGAATGATATAATGTCAAAACCAAAATGTGTGTTTAAAAAGAAAGTTAATTTAAGTATGTTAAAACTATAACTTTGTAATGCAGGTATTGATAACAGAACATGGAGATCTAGGCAATGGAAAATTTTTGGATCCAAAAAACAAGATAGCTTTTAAATTTGATCACTTAAGAAAGGAGGCTACTGATCCTAGGCCTTATGAAGCTGAAAATGCAGTTGAGTCCTGGAGAAATTCAGTAGAGACTGCAATGAGAGCCTATGTGAAAGAACACTATCCAAATGGTGTTTGCACAGTAAGTACTGGATATATATGAAATAATGGGGGATCGAAACCTCATTGTGTGTTTATAGTGTTGATAGGAGACGATCAGTTCCTGAATTATATTGAGTGCCATTATCTTATATGAGAGAGCCTAGTGAAGACATTCCTTTAAAGTCATAGGTGGGAGCATATTGGGTTTTAATGTTCTCATTACCCACCACTCTGTATCACCTACAAGCACTTATTTTCTTTTCTTCCTTGCCCCCAGAAACATGCTCCTGAACTTCCGTTGGGTATTGATTGTGCACCATCGGTTCCTCACTAGCCTCCTGGGACACAGTGGTATTGCTCAAAGTTTGAAAACTAGAGGCTGGGCTGCCCTATCGTGGTACGTGGATCTAACTTGTGCAACTTGATTAACATGAATAAAACAACTGAAGCAGATGATGTTAGATCCACTTACCATGGTGGTTACACTGTGTTGTGTCGACAGGAGAGTATCTCATTTTCACATTCCTTTACCCTTCTCGGGCAGGTGGAGTACACAGATTAATTTTAATGTGTCTTCATCAGACCTGCTAAATCGACACTTGTCTCATTGATTGCAGCAGTGCCAAGCTATTTGCAAGTGTAGCCATATACCCTGGAGTAGTCCCAAATTCTGTTCTACGTGTGACAAGAGATACCTGACTGGATAATGTTTGATAATGATGTTCATATTCTAGTCATACAAGGACATTGCTGGCTGTTCCCCTTCATCAGAGTGAGGGAAAAGTACACACAGTTTGTTGCATTCCTCACTCAGGCTGAGGTGTGAAGAGTGCAGTTTGTTCTCATTCCCTAACAGGGACAGAAAAGGAAAGAGCAAGCAGTTCTGGAATGAATCTCGGGAGGTAGGGAGAGACTTTTGCCCACCTACCCTCCCCCACACACTATAGTTTCCTGTCCAGAGCCCCTCCTCAGCCCTGATTGCTGAATCCCTGCCCCCCCCCCCGGCCTCCTGGCCTGAGCCCCTCCAAAAAACACCTTACCAATTTCCGGTAGATGTGCTAGTTCTACATATGTAAGATTTCAAACATGAAGGAACTAGACTCTGAAGTACCATACATTTTAGCTGGCATTGATTTGCTATATCTTTTCAAGAGAATGCATATTGGTAAAAACAGTGGGGACAGATAATGGGGATGAGTAAATAAGGTTAGAAGCTTCACTGTGACTAAGTGAACTCTGAGTGGGGAAAGAGAGAAGGTTTGTAAGCTCAAAAGCTTGTCTCTCTCCAACAGAAATTGGTCCAGAAATTTTAGAAACACAGGGTAGGTGAACAATCTTTTATTGGATCAATTTCTGTTAGTGAGAGACAAGCTCTCAAACTCACTGATCTTGTCTCATACTGGGATCAACACGGCTGCAACACCACTGTACATAAATAAGGAAAAGACTCAGTTTGGAGGTACATTTGCTATAAACCTGGGGGGGATGGGGTCTACAGTTATCCATCTGTAAGCAAAGTGAAGAGGTGTTAACTCTTTATTGTAAGCTTTAATCTTGTCTTTGATGTGTTCCTTTAAAAAAACATGATGTGTACGCATGGCCTTTTTTTGGGGCTGTTTTGGAGAGACAAAATACCAAGTCTTGGGTATAGCAAGGCAAGATAAAGGGAGAGAAAGCACTTCATCCTATCCTCTGTACTTAAGCAAAAATAGGAAGTGGGGGTTTCATAAAAATAAAACCTTTTTTTCTTCTGTATCAGACTATCACTTGTCATGCTTGATGCTTTAAAATTCCACTTAGGGTTTTCTTTGGTTGAACCTCTCTAGTCGGAAACTCTCAGAACCTGACTGGTGCTGAACCAGAGAATTTGCCAGACCATAGGAAGCCAATATTGTCTAGCACCATTACCAACACTTCCACTGTTTGTTGGCTTTAGAAGATACTAGAGCTAAATAACAGCACAGAACATAACCAGGACTGGTGGCTATAAACAAACTTTATAAGACTGCAGGAAACAATGGACATCTGGATAACTAAAATCATGGCAGACCACGGATGTTACCAAATCAGAGAGTGCCAGACTAGAGCG